TAAGTCCGACGCCTCATAAGTCCGAAATTTTGGACTTCATGAGGCGTCGGACCTATGAGGCGTCGGACTTATGATACGGCTCCATTTTAACGTGTAGAGCAATTGAAATAATTTTCTCGCTTAAAAGTAGTTTAATAAATTAATGGGTTTCCAAGTCATTATTAATTTTGGTGCAACATGTTTTTTTTTATATGAAATATATTTCTTTGTTTTGGGGTTCCGCCTTTTTTGTTTTTACTCGCCCTGTACATGTATTGCATACCACAACCCCCCTCCAGATCCACAACTGCACTTGGCAATGCCCCGTTTTATAACATGGCTAGACATGGACACAGCTTGAGAGAGGTGATCAAAGCCGTCAATCGAGTTTGAGGCACACCTGAAGTTGGAAAAGAAGGTCGAGTCGAATCCGCCCCTACTTTGCGGCGTATAACCTAATTGGCAAAGTCGTCCATCAAAATTCATTAATAATTGATTGGAACATTAAGGAAATTTCTATAGGGTGAGTCAAGGAACCGAATTCAATGTAAAAATTACCCCGATTTCTTGTTGATCCGACAATTCTGGTGATCTGGAGAATGTCAAGGCAACATGCATTATCCGGTGAGAGTTGACTTTAGCGGATTGAGGATTTGCTTTTATTCTGCCATGCGTATTTGCTTAGTAACGGGCCTATACGCTAATGATGATTTTTTTAAAAAAATTGCTTGGCAGTATTCCAACAGGATCAACTGGGATAGACAGCCTATCCATTGTGTCTACTACATGTCTCAGTATACATCCCACTCACGAAGTTAAGCCCATATTTTGGCGTTGTGTAAACTAATTAATTATTAAGGGCGTGATGTGACCACATGTCACTCAAACCCAGGCTTATACGGTATGCCAAAGCAAGGGGTGGAGAGGAGGGGGAGGGGTAGGGAGGAGTGGTATGAAATTGCCCGGGTTAATTTTACCCAAGCAAGGGTGAAAATTGCAACTACCCAAAATAAGCCATTTGTGAGTGACCTACACCCTTTGGGATTTAAATTTGAAAAACATCTGGTACACTGACTTGCTCAGAATGCTTGGCACATTTTAACTTGGATTCTCCAGACCAAAGATACTGTTGCTTATCACATGATTTGGGGCAAGCTCTTGCATAGTTACGTATAAGAGACGCTCAGCACCAATACATTGTTCACAATGACTGAGAATGGCACAAAGACACCAGACCAAGCCGGGCCTGGGGTGATAGCATAAGGCTTGCCCCGAATCACGTGATATAGTAACAGTCTCAGCATTGGATTAAGTCAGCGTTCCAGATTTTATTTAAATTTAACTCGCAAATGGCTTATTGCATGGGTTGTCCTTTACCCAATAGTTTGGGTTAGAATTTCTGTTACATTCAATTCAACCGAAACTTGTGGTCATACCAGACTAAATTTAATTTGGTCTTGCATGACCACAAGTTTCGGTTGAATTTAACAGAAATTCTAACCCAAACAATTGGGTAAAGGACAACCCAATTTTGGGTAGTTGCAGTTTTCACCCTTGCTTGGGTAAAATTAACCCAGGCTGGTTAATATTGGTGTGATAGTCTTGAGTGAATTTTACCGACTCAACCAGAACCAGAACCATGCAATTTTTCAGTGATGGCTGTACACTGTACAGGGGTGGTCCAAAAAAGGTTTACACTTTTTCAAACGCTTGCAGATTTCTCAAAATTTGGTAGACATGTTGATATATTTTTTAAAGATAGCCCTAAACTACATTATCTCGATGGTGTATCGTAAAAACTGCATTGAAAACAAAGGCTCATTCAATAAATGGAGGCCAGTTACAGAAAAAATGGTCAAAAGCCAGTTTGTCCACACGCGTGTGTCAGATGTGGTCATTGTTATTGCAGTTATTTGTGCACGCAGGTCTATTGTTTTGACCATATCTTATAATAACACACCATTTCACCATAATTACCAAGATCTGTGATTTTATAGTTTAGGAATACAATAGAACAATTCCAAACATGTCTCCCCAATTTTGAGAAATCTGCGTATGAAAAAGTGTAAACTTTTGGGGGGGGGGGGGCCCACCCTGTACCATTTTACTCGAACTCTCAGATGAGCCCACTATAGTTTAAACATCATTGTCTTCATACTGCACTTGATAACTTCGGTATACAGGCAATAAGTCCGAAATCTCTTTCCCAAAATATGCCCCTTTTATAGCTTAAAGAGACACTTTGAATTTTCGAAACAGGTCAATTGGAATCGGCAAAATTTCACTATTTCTACAGTCAAATTAAATTTGTCTGCTGATTCGCAAAGGCACGTACTACTCCTCCTGCAACTCACGCCTGAACGTGAAATAACAGTGAATCGGCAAGTCCACTTCTATTAAATCAGACAAACAGGAAATATCTGTATTGACAAGGAGTGAACTTCCCCGCGGAAGGGCTACGACAGGGGGTCTCTGTAAACGCCGCAATGACAGACCGCGAGCGTGCGTGGAAGGGGACGAATAATCACGCACGCCCTCCAGCGGTAGACTGGTGTTAGGTGTGGGTGATCAAAGCAAAGGAGACCGCACTCGCCACATTGCATGTTTTTGTGGTGTAGGATCGGCGTCAATAAACAAGCCCCTTGAGCAAGTATTACTAATACGTGTGACACACTTGTGGGAAGGGGGGGGGGCACCAAAAACACTCTCTTTAGGATGAACAGGGTGCGGATCTAAGGTCCTCAATTTTTGATCATCACAAATATTTATTCGCGCACTGGAACCACGAATCCGTTCCCAAAACTTATGCGTTATATTCTGTTGTATCCTCGAAAAGGTCATTATTCTCACTCGTGCCAATTCTTCATAAAGCTTAAGAATAGGCCCATTGCATTGAGTATTTAGCTACAGCAGATATCCTTTAATTTCTCAAAAAACTACTACAAAAAAACATGACTGTCTCATCTTGATACCACGTTCATGAAAATCAGAGATCTAACAGATTATAAAAGACTGTGGGTTTTTCCTCACCCATTCCAATGGGATGGGATTTACACAGTTAACTTAATTTACGTCAGAGTGAAAAGGCTCATTACAATCTGATGCACTGATATCACTGACTGTGCATGTAGATACCATTTGGATGGGTGAAAAACCCATAGCCTTTTACAATCTGTTAGATCTCTGGTTTGCATTAACGGATTTCCATTCATTTTCACTGGTTCTAATGCACAAGATTATAATGGTCCATCAAGATGAAATACACCTGTTAAGTAGTTTTTGAGAAATTAAAGGATATCTGCTTGCACAATTTATTTTGGGACACCCTGTACCACCATCTCCATTACTAGAGCTGCCGCTACCAGAGTTGAAAAGAACGAAGCTACCGTGGTCCATGATAGCCAAGACGGTTAAGAAGAGGGCCAGTTGGGGGGGGGGGGGGATCGAAAGACTTAACGCACGGTTTGCACGGGTGCAATCTTTGACTTTATGGAGGATATCGTCTTGTCTTCTTTGGAACTTTTAAAAACGATTCTATTTGTCACAATAAATTTCTAATTAGATTTGCAAACTATTTTGTGATAATGCAAAAGTTCCGGCATCGTAACGTCGATATTGTGTTATTACATACCCACCTGACTCGCTACAGGATTAGTCATAGGGGGGGGGGGGGGGGTAAGCGAATCATATCCTAAAAACCTACCAATTTTCGCCTCCTCAATGCAACCGTGCCGGAGGAAACCCCGCATGGAAATCCGGAGGTTCAATTCAAGTCCGTCCGCACATACCGTAAACATACCGCGTCGTGGGCCGGACGCGGCGAGGCTAGCGACACGGCCGGACGATACTGGCGTATTTACGGATGCGAGGGGGGTTCTACCTTTTCCTCAAACCTCCCTCATATTGAGATGACTGTGCTGACAAAAAGTCCAACTCGTCGGATTCTGCACCCACCTAAAAACAAAAATCTCATCCGCCGGCAAAAAGTGTTAGTTTCCGTGCATTGTTATTGTTTTCGGCTTTAATAATATGTATGATTAATCAGTGTCAATACTATGCAGTGATGTAAACAAATTAATGTGATAGTGCTCAATGGCACGTATACAAAATTATGCCAACTTCCATGTACTTGTTGGAAAGCCACACAATGATCGGTTAAAAAGATCTGAATTTCCGGGGAAATCCTGTTTGACGAAGTGTCCTTTATAGCCTCAGTATTCAATGATATTAAATATATCTTCAACATAAAACTTTTTTTTTCATTGTCATTGTGACATTTTATTTTAAAATATTTTATTTAAAGTGTAACTTGTTTTCAGATCTGTCAAATGAAATGGTGTTTACTTTACACTTCACAAGCTTTCATTTACGATTGCATGTGGAGAATTAAAGGGCATGAGAAAAAAACTCTTACTCCTGAATAAATATTACAAATGTAAAGAGCAAAGAGTAACACAACTTTGTTATTATTTTAACAAAGAGTAAACAAAATAGAAGTGACACTTTGGCACTGGGCGCTAATGGAGCATGAATGCTTCGATTATACAAAGTGAATTAATTCAACACATCTTACATAAAGCATAATTCTACAAAACTTCTCCCTTTTTTGTGTGCAATTTTTGGTTTCAAATACCGATTTGGAGATTTGGGAAGTTGCCGAACGAAGCAAGACAAATATATCGGAACTAGAACGATCTGGGCTTGTAATTCTTGGCACGGGCTTCCGGCTGCTTGACGTGTACAGTGGAATGCCAAGATCACAGGATATGACATGCTGCGTGCCCAACACGTGCATTCAGCAGTAAAGTAAATAAACGTGTGTGTACACGTATCCATAGTGCACTGATCAACACACTTGACATTGGCTTTGTATGTAAGCCCAACACTTGACGATTCCACAGAACATGCATAATTCAACGAAATGTAAGTGACTTTGACGTCATCGACCTCTCTCTGATTTGCCACTTGTGCGACGCAACCAACGCATCAATACCCAATACAGATAGGGGAAACTCGTTCCCCACATTCTATTGGTCCATTGTGGCACAGATCGGGGTCATCAAGTTTGTCGCGCGAGGCTTATATAACGCTTGAATGTTGACAGCTTGGGACATACGTACTATGCGAGCACGTGCCTGTGTCACATTTTGACAAGTAGTACTCAAACGTGTGTATTTGATTATAGTCTGCGGCAACTGATGTGATTTTACCTGTTGAGGGAACTCGACTCTCATCATTGCGAGAAAAATACCTTAAGAAATCGCGTCTACCTTCAGTAAATTTCAACGCAATTAATACGAGGAACATTGAAACTAAAGAAACTGACACTGCAAGTCAGGAGTTGACAAAATTGATCCTTTTATGTTCTACAATTTGTTATCCGGGCTTCGCTGCTGTTTCCTCGGTAGTCTATTCCCAGCCAGAATGGAGGCCAGCATCTTCGTCGGATTGCATACCCTTCTCTTGTTCGCGGTCACTTTTCTCCTGGTGATGGCCGCCGTTCATCGGTTCCGAGTCAGAGCCAAGAACCTCCCGCCGGGCCCCTGGGGCCTGCCTATCGTGGGCAGCCTGCTCAGCCTCGGCGCCAACCCGCACCTCACGTTTCTGGAGATGACCAAGACGTACGGCAACGTGTTCCGGGTGAACTTGGCCGGACAGCGAGTGGTGGTGGTCAATGGGTTTGAGGCAGTCCGTGAAGCACTGGTCAAGAATGCTTCGGCCTTCGCTGGGCGCCCAAAGATGCCCTTGTTCCACAGACTTACCGAAGGGCAAGGTAAGCTAATATAATAAAAACAGTTGTCACTGGTTTCACAAATACTTTGAGCTATTTCTCTCTCCAGTTTAATTGAAGAAACAAAACAGTCACCCGAGACATTAAAAACCCTTTAGGTCAAACAAATCTATGAAAAGTATGATTATACTGTTTTGTGAGGAAAGTTGATCCAGGCCATTTATAACACTATAAGCGCCTGTACTGTATGGACGTCTAGGACAAAAGATTACTTAAATCACACAGTAGACTTGTTATGGTTCAAAATGAATTACAAAGTGTATTTATTCAATCTTATTAACAACAACAGCTAATTTCACGCGGCTGATACGTGCTTGCACTTGCAGTGAACCACGTAGGCACACGCATGCAGAGTGTGACCAAACGCTGCTTCAGTAAAATCCCTATTAGTTTCAGTATTGAAAGTTTTATGAAGTTTATGTTGCCAATAAGTTAACTGTCACACCGTGTGCACATGATACCCCCGTGGTGGGTGAAATAATCAATATGTATCGATTTTAGAGCTCTAACCATTTGGCGATCACGCATGTCGATGACAGCTATACAACAAGGTACGCGTACCTGTCCTGTCATCACTAAAGGCAAACGTACTCAAAATGTGTCGCTCCATAACCATGGAGGTAGAGCAAGAGCTACCAGTATGAATCTTTGCCACAATTTTAATTTCTCTCAAACACGGGAATTTTGAATGGCATGGAGTCTCACTCGAGTGTTTCTTTGCATTTGCCATTGTAAGTTCTAGCACATAAACTCTTCTTTATTGGGGCTTGTGTACCTTTGCCCCGCCGTCAGTCTTAACTAATAACAAGGGATGTTCCTCGCCTATTGTGTCTCAATGTTGACTGACGGGCTAAACCAATATTCAGAGTCAATAGATTAAAATACCAACACTTCCGCTCGCGGACAAGTCTAAAGTGATGACCAAGATCCAGGATCTGACTTCTTTTTGTGAGGTTTGAGACCCTTATTCTCAGAAAGAGACCGGTCTTGTGTTGAAGCTCTTTGATGTTCAACCAGATCCAAAGGTGAAAAGGGAACCGCCAGTAGAAAGCAATTGATTCGGTGATGTTTAATGGTCTTCTTCACAAAAGAAATCGCTTGCTTGGGACTTTTTTTACGAGGCCCTATTGTTTGCAGATTTTGTTTCATTACCCTAGGGTTGAATAAAAACAAGCCAACAAACGAACTGATTTATGATCCTCTTTGCAAACGGCTACATTTTGTATTACATTGAGAGCGTGACATTGTCTAACGTTTTAGTCCTGGTTACCCTTGCCATTAGCATTTGCACCGAAAAATTACACGAAGCAAACCAATATTTTAACTTTTCTTCAAATAATTGGCCTAGCTAAAAACTAGAGCCATTTTACCCGTTCATCGCCACGCCATTTCATTCACAGTTTAATAGCTTGATTTATTGCATTCCATGGCTATACACCCGTGGATGCACACAATCTGATCTGAGTAAAAACTTACCCTGCAGTGTATACTCATGGAGCTGTTTTACAATGTATATCTCCGTATACTGACATCCTAGTAAGCCTACCTCCATATCGACATTCCCAACAAGGTCATACTGACAAGTACGACTAACATCGGGCCACACCACTGAAATTAATGACGGTCTTTTTCCGCTGACTGATGTCTACATAATGTCAATTTTGATTTAATAAAAAGCTTTACTATAAGAGTACATTAGCGAACTTACACAAAATAACCCCACAAATCGTCTAGTTGAAACAAATCGGACCGAACACCTGTAGGGGCATACGCAAAGTTGGACGTAGATGTCTATTATTTGTCGATGTACCCATCGTCTCCATTTCGTCTTCAGCTCTTCAATTTTCTTTTATATAGACCGTACCAAAGCGATGGTCCGTGCTAGAATCTATAATGAGAATGTCCAATGCTATGAAATTAGTTTTCCTTAATCGCACAAATCAATTCTTTTGAATATCACGCAGTTATTTATTTTTTGCTTCAATTGCCATTCTGGCCAAGTTCAACTGAAACCCTTTTAATATCCTGATGCTGCTGTACTATTCTACAGGTTAGTTTATATAGTTTACATGCCACTTTGTTTTAAACGTTGAAACCCCCTATACGATTCCTACGGCCTTTGGATTCCTTCCAAACATCGAAGTGTCAAAAAAGAAATTTACTGGACCCTATAGGCAGAAATCACTATGGTCTATGTTGTACTTGTCAATTTTCGCCGCAAAGGAATTCCTGTAAAGCGAAGCCCCGGCGAAGCATATGAAAGATAATAGTATACGCTCCCTATAGAGCCGTCTTACGTGCCACAGGCAAGCTATCTCAAGATATGATCTATATCTCTCGCCTTACCGACCACAGGCCATTTTAATATGAATTACATGGCGGGAAAAAGCTGGAGAAGCCCTTGACACGTATGACTCACGTCAAATAGTAAACAAAGGTTTTCAACTTTTTGCGACAGGGATATAGGCGTACGTGATTTTAAAAGAGTGTTGTTGAGAAGTAACTTTGTCGACAGGGCGCCAGTTTTCCGGGTTCGGTGTATCTCGTATCTATATCTGGATGATTTCGTAAGTTCTGTTTTCAAAGATGCGTGTAGGACGTGCCAACTGTACTCGTGACACGTTTAGTTGTGAGGCCTTGAAGCGCCAACTTTTTTTTGCAAGGAAATTTGGTTGTGTCGTGGAACGTGAAGCCCAGGGCTGATGCACACCGATATGTGAAGTACAGGGCCGATATGTTGTAGTTTGCTATATAGTGCCTCCATAAGGTCCTATTCTTGACTAATGTCATCTCGATTGCGCTGGTCAATTCCATAAAGCAAGGAAAACCTACAATGGTCCCAGATCGAACAACCCACCGTTGCCAACCCTAGGGCTGAACGGTTAACTGTTGGCACACTCCATGCCAATTACACCAACAATCAACCAATTATGTCCGGAAAAACTACGCAACAAAAGATGCCAACGAACCCTTCCGGCCATCACCACAACAAAGACGCGCTGGCCAGAGTCTGGCCGACCAAAAAATATATATATACCTGCGATTGAGTCGAGGAAAACTACTGGCGCCTTATCGGTACTTTTAGTGACCGTTCGTGGCAGAAAGGAAATTATTGGTTGACTCCAACAATGGAAAGCGGGGGTACTTGCACTTTGAGGCTCCGGCTTATCCGCTCTTTGCCCGGCACTTATATAGAGCCAGTAATTGTTGGACTTTGTCCGCTGTCTGCCTGACAATTGGGGCCTGATATGAAATCCACTTCAGAAAGAAAGAACTCAAAAGTCAATTTCCTAGTTTCATCGGATTATTTACAATCCGATTCCGTGAAGAAAGGGCAAGAGGTTTATCCTGCTGATTGAAGAACTCTAGCGCAGACTGTGACTGGGCAGTTCCTCGCCTTAAGTTAAAATTGATACCGCCATCTGTTGCAAAATATCACCAATGATTGTGAACAAAACTGGAAGAAAATTCGAAACTATGTCACTACACGCGCTCCTATTTTTCCAACTTTTGTTGAGGAATCCACGAGTTGAAACACTTCCAAATTTTAATTTTCAAAACAATGTTTTCCCGAAAAATATCGAACGTTCTCTTCTTGTACGCAAAGGAAGGTGTTGCTTTTGTCTCGAATACAAGTAAACTAAATCCCGTAAAACAACTTTCTAATCGCTTATTATTACACCCCCGTGGCACTGTTTTGATTTGGTGGTCCAGAGGGCAAGTGGTCGACACCAGCGATTTGAAACATGCCCCTGGCTATAACACCCCCTTAACACCCGTTAAGTGGTGGCAATGTTATTTTCAAGCCGAGTGTAAAATCGCGCGATGCGCGGTTAATACCGGTCTCCATGCCAAACTAATTCTTAAGTTTAACACACTTATTAGCAGTGATTAAGTTCGGGCCCTATAGAAATATCTCTGTGTCAAGTGCAGAGCGGAAATTGCCCAAAGGCCAAGAACAATACGTGACTTGCTGGTTCTGAAATTTCCCACACGGTCATGTAAAACCCAATAAGTAGTGGGTCAAAGCACCATGAAAGAATGAGATATTGTGACGAAAGTCTAATGACCTTATCCATGGGTGTAAATCCTGAGGGAAGGGGGGGGGGTGTTTCTCCACACATACTTCTTTGTCCAGGATATAGAAAAATGATTCCTCACAGTACAATTTCCCATGAAATTAAAACAAATTATTTATAGTAAGGTTACCAGTAAATAAGTAATACAGAATGAAAGCACCGAGTTGTCACTGCGTCAGTGTTATGTTACACTGATAGCCTACCATTTACCTTTAAAACATTTAAAAGTCAATCATTTGGAAATGGCTGAGCCCCTTACCCATCCGGGGCCATCCCCCGCGCCATGCAAAATATTTTTTTGGGTGGAAAATGTTTCAGATTTACTTTTCAAAGCGTAAAATACCTTTAAACAATATAACATAAAACCTCACAAGCAAGCACATCCACTCAATCGTAAGAGGATTCACTCTGCTTACTTTTGCATGAGCCTAAACTTAGAATCCCAACAAAACAAAATTTTATACTCACTCCACATTTTTCTTTCTTATCCCTTTTTTCTACTTCAGGGATTGTGTCATCTGACTTTGGGCCGATCTGGCGTGAGCAGCGTCGCTTCACTCTCCATACCCTCAGAAACTTTGGCTTTGGAAAGAAGAGCTTTGAGGTCAAAATCACCGAGGAGATCAACCACATGCTAGCTGCCTTCAAAGAGAAGGGCAGCGAGCCCTTCCATGCAGACCACATCCTTGAGATCAGTGCATCCAACGTGGTGAGCAGTCTCAACTTTGGACGGAGGTTTGACTACAAGGATCCACAGTTCCAGCTTCTAGTGGACATGATCTACAGATTTTCTGAGATAGGGACTAATGCAGCCGCCGCCAACTTCTTCCCGTTTCTCATCAACCTCCCTCTGCCCAACATCCGGGAGATGTTCAACATCAATGACATCATTACAGGTTTCTTGACCAGCATCATCGGGCAGCACAAGGAAACCTATAATCCAGTGGCTCAGCGGGATTTCATCGATGCCTACCTTGGTGAAATTGCACGTCGCCAACAGGAGTGCCTCCAAGATGAAGTCACAGCATCCTTCACTGAGAGGTATCTCTATCACATCTTGAGTGACCTCATCTTTGCTGGCACAGAGACAATGTCCTCCACACTGAGATGGGCTATCCTCTACATGATTGTCTTCCCAGATGTCCAGGAGAAGATTCAAGCAGAGTTGGACTCTGTCATTGCCAAGGATCAGCTTCCATGCATTGGAGACAGAAAGCAATTGCCATACACAGAAGCTACATTGATGGAGGTGCAGCGTATGGCCAATATCACTGCTCTGCCTTACCCACACAAAACCACAGAAGACACAGAGCTGAGTGGGTACAGCATTCCTAAAGACACACCCATCTACATCAACCTGTACTCTGTTCACGTCGACCCCACACAGTGGACAGAGCCAGAGAAGTTCAGGCCAGAGAGGTTCTTGGATGAAAACAGAAAAGTCCGAAACAGGCCTGCACTCATGCCTTTCTCAGCTGGTAAGTCTACAGTGTTAGTCTACCTTTTATGATCAAAGAACAAAAAAAAGTTGAACGATCTCATTCTAAACTAACGATGTTCATTTTCAAAGTGCAGAAATTTATTGAAAAACAATTAATTTAATTGTAATGTAACTGTTGCCAAACAGTAAACTTAGCCTGGGTACAGAACACATACTTGTTATCCTTCTAATTTAGTACAAGCTTGTCAGCATGTATCATCATATGACAATTAATTTCCCCCCTTCTCTGATTTTGTCTTACTACAGGTCGCCGAGCCTGCCCAGGGGAGAATCTTGCCAAGATGGAGTTATTTCTCTTCTTCTCCTCCATGCTCCATGCCTTCAAGTTTAGTGTGGCCCCGGAAAACCCACAGCCCAGCATTGAGAAAAACTACGGCATCAGCCTCAACCCAAGCCCCTTCAAGATCTGCACCTCTCCCCGGTGATAGGTGATGAACAATTTCAAGAACAGCTAGTACAAGACAGTTTTGTTTTGCCTAGAGGCCAAATTACATACATTTGCTTATTGTGGATATCAACGCTAAACACAAACAGGCTTTGTTTAAGACAAACACATATGTACTTACCGTAAAGGAATGTTGCTCCAGATGTCTTCACTAACCCACTTAACATACAGTTTTGATATTTTAGTGCAGTAAAGATCACAAGTGAAATATGCTTTCAGTAAACACAGGATATCTTTTTGTTTTATTAAAAAATCTTACTGTAAGCAGCACTGAGAAATTAAACCCTTGCTGTGAGGAGGAAGGATTTTTTTGGGTGGCCAATATTAGGTGCAGACATTTTGGGGCGGTGTATTTTACATTGTGAAGAAGAACATGCACAATGTTCAGGCCAACTGTGGTCCTAATCTTCTTGGCAACAAAAGTCTATATTGAAAATATCGTTTTCACCGAGTGATGCTAGTTTTCATGACACAAAATAGTCACAATCTTAGTCCCAGTGCTTGGTTGAATTTGTTGTTCAATTTGTTGTTAAAATATTTTTTGATTCTGTGTTATTGACCATCATCAAAGGAAAACAGAAAACCCAAAATTAAGCCACATTATAAATTAAGAACCATTTGTCCTTAAAAAATGGTAAAACTTTGGATTGGACATAACATCGAAGACAGTCAAAGAAACATGCATTTCTCTCATACACAGTGCTACATTTTGATAAACATATTTTCTGTGTATCGATCTTCAAATGAATTGAAATTTGAAATGCAAGGTTTTCAAGATGAAATTTTCGTTGACGTGTTTGTCTGAAAGATGCTCAATATCATCTGTTGTTAACTGTAAATATTCTAATTGCCGGCTTTCGTAGCTGATGTATTCTCAAATATTCAAATATTACATTATGTACATGTAGGCAGTTGACTTTTAAAACAACACCGATTTCTAAAAGAAAATCCATGGAGAAGGTGAAGACTGGATATAATTTAATGAATTAACTTATTTATAATTCGCCGAGTGCTGATGGCATGACTTCAGTATGTGTTGTTTTAGTTGTTAACAAAGGCTTGAGCTGTTATTTATGTCACTTACATTGATTTTTATATATTGTAAATATAAATTATTTTTCCTTTTGTATCTCAATATTGAAGATCATTATCCTATTATTAATTAAGTTATTTTCATTCCTATTTTTTTTTCAGAGTGTAAATGTTGTATTCAGATGTAGTAACGGATCCATATGTACAGAATTTTAATGAACATTAAGCTCAGGAAAGAAAGCATATGTCATTTAGGAGGATCAAATGAGGTTTACTCCTCAAAAATTCTCATTTTTATAAAAACAAATGAAGGCCTTTCAACTTTTTGTATTATAAGCCTTTAAATTTCACTAGTTCTAGTTTTGGTAGTTCTTTAACATATACATGTATCTTAAAGCCATATATCACTGAACATGTTTGTCTCATATCAAAGTGGTAAGATGTTTTCTCATGTATAAATACTGGTCAAATAATTGACTTATATAGGTTTCTTATATCAGTCCGTGGTACTCAGAATGAGGTGAAATGACCAATATTAGAATGGTTCCAAGGTTGAAGTGCCTGTCTGCATAGGGACCACTATCTAATCTTTAAAGAACATGTTCAAGAGTGGAGGCAATGGTAAAACATATTGACATCTCTGCAGAGTGAATTACTTTACAAATGGTCTTCCGCACCATCAGTGCCTTCATAATGTTTCCTAAGAAAGGAACACCTATACTCATAGCTTTTCGTAAACTTTTGTTCTACTGTTACATTTCAGTTGCTTCAATAAAATAGAATGATAAAATATTTTGTAGAGGTACAAAAAATACACAAGTTAATAAGTTGAACACACAAACTAAAAACAAACTTCGAAAGAAGAGTTGAGCTGTGGATTCTCCATTGTAAAGCTAACAATTGTGTATCGTATAGTAATTTGCAAATATTAAACAACACTGCAGGTGAAAGTACCTAGCATTTTAATCCCTTGACCTTGGCCCACAATTCCGTCTGAGAAAATCACTGTTTGATTCCAAAGTTAAGAAAAAAAACAAGTGTCTGACACGAGTGTTGCCGTTTGTGTCACCCCAGCACCTGCAATCACATGGTTACTGATTGTTCCCCCAACAAACACTTATGTCTGCAAAAACACAGGTGTTCAGGGAACCTGTAAATGACCCTCTACACTGAAGGGATTAATTTAGAGTCCACAGATGCTATGGGGATTATGATATACTCCTCTTGTAATAAATTGGACTCTATAGCAGACAAAACAAGCCAGGGGAGAAGTGTGGGGCAATCCATGGTGCAAATAATGACCCAGATGTGAAGTCCTAAGCCTTGCACTCTTTTATCAGTAGTTTAACCCAAGTGAGTATACTGCTCAGTGCAGCCAAAATAGGGACATAATAAAGCTGTCAGCTTGTAATAATATTGTTCTAAGTATTTAAACATCATACTTTTGTTCTTGCCTCAAAAGTACACTTGAAGTACATTGTAAGTGACAAAAAGGGGTACATGTAGCAGTTGGTCTCTAAGTCTTAAAGTTCTTTTAGAGGACTCTTGTCACAATACAGGTGTTGACAGGAACTTGGTCCATGAATAGGGTCTCAAATGTTGCCTGTGGCAAATCAACACTTGGAAAAGACGACCGATACTGTGACAAAGTGAAACATGTTGCACCCGAAGGTGCATTTACTTCCACATCGTTTAAAAAGAATTCTATTTCATTTCATGAAATTTCATAAAAAATGAGATCAAAAATATGTGGCTAATGGTTCAGTGTTTGGTTTTACATGTATTCATGGTCATTACCTTTGGATTCAATTTTCAAATTTGCATTCAATTCTTACACTGTATGATATATTGTGAATGTTCTAAGATTTTGTATTGATTACTATCGTGCCTTCAATGTACATTCAGATTATTACCGATTTATTACATATTAAACAAATGTGGATTTGGATAACAATGACTAGCTAGTCCCTGCTAATTTGGTTCACGTGCGTGTTTTCTTGAAAACAAACAATAAAAACAAACCGATGCATTGTGAAATACCAATCGTGATACTATATTGTTACACAACCATTCAGATTTTGAACACAAACATAACTGATTCTAATGCAAACCTTACCCCCTCTGACCAAATAATATGAAGACATCCCCCCCCTTTTTTAAAGTGGGGGGATATCATATCATTCCCCCCCCCCCACACTTTTTCCGTCCCCGAATAATAATTGTAGCCTTTATTTGATTCTACAGCTCAGAAAAGCTGATTGAATGACTCCAAACTTGAAAATGATAATTAACTGATAATTTTTGCTCAAAAAAATTTGGTTAAAGTGGTCAGAAATTGCCTCAGATGTACCACAGAGCATCTAGAATCCAAAATTTTCCGGGGCCCTTAAGCGGCCCCGAACCCCACACCCTAAGGGCTTGGCGCTCCCATTAGTTCTGATCAAGGTATATGTCCCCCCCCCCCACCCACACTTTTGAGAAGCGATTGCACCCTTGTATGAACATGATAAAATATCCTTTGTTTGGCAAAACAGAAGTTTCTAAAGTTTTCTACTGCAAAGCCTGTCTCTTCCCAGTCTCACTGTGTGCTGACTGACATCAGAAGACATGTTGCACATTGAGGAGTGGACCCTGAACCTCTAAGACAGCCCACGGAAAATTCAAACTAACTGAAGTAATCCCCTTTGCCAACAACAATTCCGCTGAGAACTGTCTGAGCTGGCTCAACAAAGCACACTAATCAAGCTTTCAGAACTGTCTATTGATCTGGCCAAGCACGAGGGCAACTGAACCTGCTGATGCATTATTGACAGATCCTTTGCCATTCATAACTGAGTTATGACCTAAGACTCGGAAGTCTTACTCTGATCTGCTTGTCTTGACATGAAAGCAAATAAGATGAGTAATATTGGGAGTACGGGATGTGTCAATGTGGACACCATGTTGGGGCTATTTCCTCATTTAGTTCATTGTGACAAAATTGTGCAAGTGTCAATCATGCTTTGCAATAAAATGCAGAAGTAAAGTGAACAAAAAGAAGCTTACTTGTATAGTGACAAAGCTAATATGTGTTTTTAAAGATATGCCTCAGTACCTTTTAAAAGACAGACGTGGGTTTTTTAATCCAACTCGTTGCAAAAGTAATAGCTGGCTTACAGGCTCAAGATATAGACTAGGTAACTACATGTACATGTACATGTATATAAGTTGGAATACAGGTGAATCAATTGCACTGTTTCCTTAAAATGTCTTCAAAATGCAAAAATTTAGATATTAGTCTAAATAACACCGGAACTGTTACTTTCATTATTATTAAAACAGATAAATACTTCTAGGAAACACACACGCACATGTAAATTTCCTGTGGTATTTCCCCCATTTTCAGACTTTCAGTTTCAGGTTACTACGTTACCCGTGGTGTTACTAGAATATCAAAACCCAACTAACAAAAACTGTAACATGTATTTTCATCCCTTCCCTCCTTTCCGATTTTGCAACCATGTTACCACAATGAATACCGTTTATTTCAAATTTTCCATTAAATATTTAATTTGAAAGTTTCAATTCATAATTAGATGATACATAATTTAAATATTAAGTTTAAGCTTTTCAACTGCCAACAACGTGATGATACAAGTCTGTCATAAGAAATAATGCTCCCTGACTAAGTAGTATTGGAGAAAGAAAAGATATTACACAAGCGGATGAATAGATCTAATGGTTCCTCCCTGTTACGGAGACTTTCTTGACAGCCAGTGTGGGCTTACTGAGCAGTTGGGGGTTAGAGATCTAATGCGGCCATCAAAGGGGATGTTTCGCTTGGATTGATCGGTGTCTTTGAGATCAATTCTGGTATTGTGCTTAGTCTGTCTGGAGGACAGCTCAGTGTGACAACGTAAAGATTTTTGCCTGTTGCTATTGAGCTTGTTGGCCTCAGACGATCATCTGAGCTGACAGTGGACTAAAACCTAGAAACCCTCTGTTATGACATCAATGTAGTCCCAAGATCCCACAAAATGAAGCCATTAATGGTGCAGCCCAGTTGTTTGCCACATGTTCTTTTATTTCACTTTGTTTACCCAGTGCATGGTTTAAATGGCTGGGTTCTCACACAAGCTCTATGTAAGACGGCATCACATCAAAGCAAGACGACTGGGGATGTGAGGCGGCTCATCAAAGCAAGACGTTTAGGGACTTAACACAGTTTTCCCTGTTGGTTTCTTCCTTGTGTTCTCCGCAAAGGTCGTCTTTTCATTAAAATCTTTGGCATCACAGAATAAGGTGCGAGGGAGCCCTTACAATCACACTGGAATGAAATGCTAATACATGTTAAGGAATTGTGAAAGTATAACTTAACAGGCATGCAACTTTTCCTCGGATCAGCTGAGTTTCCTCTTTTTTTACTTCCCATGTGTGCCATTGAAAATAGAAAAAACACTGTACAAAATCTTAGAAAGATTTGAATTTCCTCTTTTTTGTGACTTCCCAGTTGCATGCCTGCTTAAGTGTGACTAAATATGTGCTTTATTTGGGAAAACAGGCTGCGAGGAGGTTTTGCAAAACATGGCAGAATTATAAAAATATCAAAGTGACAAGAGGAACGCAGCAAGAGTGTAACGGAAAGGGGGACACAAAACAGGGGAAAATGAAAACGCTTGCGTACATTGTCGTACAATGTAATTTACTGTTGCTCATTTGAAGACAAATAATCTTTTTCTGTTTTTAACAATTTCAGGATTTCATAAGTCTACTTTGATTATGATCATTCAAGGGCCATCATGTTGGGTATTACAACTTTACAAGTGCCCTGATAAATAGCAAAAGTAAACTTTATTCAAAATAGCAAACCTCAGTTGTTGAAGAAAATTGGTATGTTTTCAGGGGAACAGTAAGACAATTGTACAATGGTACATCCCCAACCTTTTTCGTCTTCCCTCCCAACAAATCAGAATTCAAAAAAGCATTAAAAAGTAATGTGTGAAGGTTTAAAAGAGCAGTTGAAAGCATTACAACCCTAACACTGTAACATAACTGTGTGTATTTCAAATGGCTGAAGATTTTGAAAAAAACGTCCCACCAAAAGTTTTTATGAAAAAAGTTGAGGGAAATTCCATTCTGAATTTACTCCTATGTAATTATGCTCCTCCCCAAACATGTGTTTATACAGTTTTGCCTTTTTTTTTTTAAACAACAAACCTCAGAAAGCTTTGTTTGAACTTCAAAAGCAATTCCACTTTGTCATAATAGTTGATCACTATTATTACTAGACCTCTGAAAGTACAACTATATGGTACAACAAAAACATCACAAACATAAACCCCATCAACAACACAAACACAGTTATCATGGCTAAAATCAACCACACGGTGATCAAGCTTGGTTATAAATTCGGTAACATACACTTTACTGTAACTCAATACTGTATGTATCGTACCCACACTACAATTGAAAAACTACCAGAGAAGGCAGAAAAACAAAAATACGGAAATATTAAACGGTGAACTTGCAACCTTCCCCCGCACCCCAGAACAAAATTATCACTGTTCCCAGCATGAAGCGAGACTCTGTTTACACTGTGACCTCATGGTGGTTGTTGGCAAGTTATCTGTCTCATGATTTGTGTTGATTGCGTGGCCTACATTTTACCAAAGTCAGACACGCAAAAAAGAGATTTGCCCAGGTCATGATGATTATTGTTGTATTGTATGATAATAGTCTGCGTATGTTATCTTTCTTCTTTTTCTACAACAGTCATAAAACCAACCCTTGTAATCAAACTCACTCATTTTTTTTTGCTACAGTTTCTGAATCAAAGCCAAATGTCACATGAAAATGAAAGTGCCTTACTTATCTAGGTCAACTAGTTCATCTATAACAAACAGAACGACAGGTGTGACTTTTGCATTGCATAGATCTTCAAGTTACAATAGTCTCCGCAAGATTAACAATGGAATGATCTCATCCCTAACTTTTAACATAAGAATCAAATCAAAATGTGGTAATTTCAGTCTGTCGTACAATTTCAAAGTTAGAAATAATATTTTTTTTGGCTTAATAAACCAATTGAATTTTGAAAAAAAAACCACCCTCACCTTCACCCCCAATTAAGGGTGAAATTGTCTAAAATGATTAAACTCGTACTTTATTAATATGCAATTTAATACAGAGATAATGAATCCCACCAAGTTTCCCTACCATTGTTTTGTTGCCTCACTATGTTGGGATGAATGCATGTATTATGATTTATCACATGACTATTCTTATGAACCCGATTTCTCAGAAAATGGCGAGGGCCTTAAAGTGTTTACCAGGTGATTATGAAACTTCCCTTAACCCAGCTGTAGTGTTGTGGTCAGGCAAGGTTTGCCAAACTAAACAGAAATAACATTTGAACTAAACTTCAAGTGACAGGACAATGGGGTATTGAATCTAAAAAAAAACAAGGAAAAAAGAAGAAGAAATGCACTGACTGTATTATTAGATTCATTACTTCACAGGTCACACATCACCAATACAATAGACCTGAGGTACAATAATGATGTCACACTTTCTAATGGGAATTTGGTGGCTCTTGCCCCCATCTGTTTGCATAAGGAAGCGCACTTGAAAACAAAGCATGGCATCATTATGTCCGAGGGAGAATTTTTGTCTGTAGCGTTTTTTTTCCAGTGTATCCTGTGAAAAACTCTATAGTTTAGTATATGGCATATTTATATTAGGCCAGTTATAATGTATTCTCTTGTTAGATTTAAGCTTGGCAATAATAGTTTTAACATTGTAATTCCATCCCCTCAAACAACAACACATTTTATAAAACCTTAACCTTTAATGAATGAGAAGTTATCTCGCAACACCAAAGACTATTACATCAATGAAATCCATATTCAACTGCTGTATCAGTTCCTCACCAGTTCAATGAAAAAGTGCACATGACCTCAGACATGAGGGGCCACTTACAGTGCAATTTGAATTTGT